AAATACAGAGCAGAAAGAGCATAGAGAGCTGATACCATTGATAGGTAGTTACTCTTCAGCAAGCATGGTACGCTGCCAGACGTCCTGTGTCATATCTAGTCAACACAAGAGAAAGCTGAGAACAATTATTTCATGTCCTACAAATGATCAACTTTTTGCAAGCAGGTAATTTTTTATCAGGACTTACACAGTGCTTAAGAGTGTGTAAAGGTCATGCACTCATGCTAAATGACAATTTGACTATGGATGCATTTCATTCCTTTCTTCTGGAGTTGTCACTGATTTGTCAATGGACACACTTAGTGAAAAAGGTTGTCCGTTTCCTTCTCCCACCTCTCTATGGGGAATTGTGCTTGAGCTTAATTGCATTCCTCGACATAGCATTTTTAGGAAAGCAAATATAATGTAGATTCATGATTGCAGCTTTATCCTAGTAGAGCTTCCACTTTTCCGGTACATCCTTTAGATCCTGCTGTCAATCTCAAGTGTTCATCACGAAGCTATTATTTGATTCCTCAATTGCAGTCTGTCTTTCCTGCTGATAGTATCTTTTAATTTGTTAAGACTAGCTGATTTCTTTTCCTTGATGTAATAACCACTGCACTTCACTTTCTCTTGACTAAGGCCCAGTTTAGTTGTATTTTTTTCTCTTTCCTTGGCATTTTTGAGCATCTGGCATAGAATGCAAGTGGGTTTTCGGTTTTCCATATAGCTTTATTTTATCCTGAATGCTAATTTAGGTTACCCTTGAATATGCAGTGCGTTGGACGGGCTTGTCAACTTATGGCAGGTACATGGCAGAGGGTATGTTAGAACTTCAAAAGTTAATTTTTTTAGTCGTATCAGTATATCTTTCCTTTATGAGATTATATTTTGGAAGGCAATCCTACTTCAGGCAACAATAACTTTTAAATGCTAATTTTATTGTTTTACCATATGTTTGTGTTCTGATGATTTTGAGTTACCTAATTTATTTATTTTTGGATAATCAGGTCAACTGCTAATCTTCTTAGTTCCACTGATTGCCTTTCGTCCAAGCATAGAAGATGGCCAGAAGATGTAGCCTGGCATCCGGAAGGCGATAGTCTCTTTTCAGTTTATAGTGCTGATGGCGGGGATTCTCAAATTTCAATCTTGAATCTTAACAAAGGAAAAGAGGTAAAGGCTTAAGTCTGAGATTAACTCCCCCAGATTATATGCCAAAGCTCATAGGACTGTAAAACCTACTTGAATGAAACAGTATGTATACATGTGCGTGTGCTAAGTCCTCTGGATTGAGTTGCATTATGATTGATTTCATATAGACAGAGCAGTATGAGCAGTATATATATATATATATATATACATATATATATATATATTTATTTATTTATTTTTATTTTTGAAACTGATATAGACAACAGTATATTAATCCACTTTCACTTTATTAACTTTGGGATAGTAAGTTATGCAAGGTTTGTGGTAGTGGTTTAATGGATATATGAGCCCAGATCACAGGTCTTTCTGATGGAAAGCTGTAGGATAGGATGAGGAGGTCCTCTGATTCCTTGAATAAATGGTCTATAACCTGATAAATTAAAGTACTTGTATTGTTTTTCATTTGAGCCGTAAAAGAGGATTGAAATACTTACATTTTTACTTGTTCATTAAAGAGGATGAAAGTACTTATATTGTTAGTTGTTCTCTTATTATGTTCTTGTCCATAATATTCCGTACACATGGAAGTACCTTTCATGATGATTAACAGGCTCAATATGATGTTTTCGTTTTCTTCTGATAACCATCATGTTAGAGGCTTCAGCTAACCCTCGTACTCATAGGTTCCCCTGACTAAACTAAACTAAGGTCTTTTAGCTACAATTGCATTGTTTACCTGTCGTCTCCACTCTAAAAATCAATCCCTCATTAAAAAAAATCTCTGTCCAGCTTTTGAAGTTGTTGATGCTTAGGTATGTAGTATTTCAACCTCAGGTATGTAGCATTCAAAGCACATCAGGCATCCTATCGCATCAAATATTACTTTGATTTTATACCTGTTATGTACTCATGTGCTTTTTATCAGCAGAAGATGCGTGTAAGTTTCTTGGAGGAGAAGCCTCATGTTAAAGGGATAATCAACAATATAATCTTCATGCCGTGGGAAGATATCCAGTTTGTTACTGGTGGTAGTGATCATGCAGCTATCATGTGGAGCAATAAAGATGGAGAAAATTCATGGAAACCTAAAGCATTGCATAGAAGTTTGCATTCTTCTGCAGTGATGGGAGTTGCCGGTTTACAGCATAAGAAAGTTGTGCTGTCTGCTGGAGCTGACAAGCGGATCATTGGATTTGATTTGCTAGCTCAAAGAGCAGAATACAAGCATCAAATAGAAAATAAATGCATGAGTGTTCTACCTAATCCATGCGACTTCAATCTCTTTATGGTTCAGACAGGGTAAAGTTTCTGATGCAGTCTTTTCTATGATCTTTAGGTGCATTTTTTACATACTGATTCCTAGCTATGTTACCAGTCCTTCCTCGTACAAAAGTTCCACTTTTCTTGCAATTATTTTTATTTAGAATAATGTGCACTCGGCAAAACTATTTGTTTTCGTGAGATATACAGTATCAAACGTCCCCAGAGTCTCTTGTAAACTCTAGTAAATTGGTCCTTAAGTATTTTAAAAAGATATAGCACTTGTGACCAGCAATGATTTGGTTATAATTTATAGGAGTATCTAATACTGTAGTCTATTTGGTTGTTTTGAGTGCTGACCCCAATTTGCTTGGGATTGAGGTATAACTGTAGTAGTAGTTGTTGTACTGTATTTGGTTGTTTTGAGTCATTGCATAAATGTGTAATTTGAGATCCTCACTGCAGTGTGTCCTAAATTGTTGAAGGAACATAAGTTCTAATGCCAAAAAGTTTTATATTTCTGAATCATTGAGGGGAAATTTTCCATCCAATGCCAATGCTGAGACGTGAAATGGATATAAGAACCAGGAGTTCTTTTTGCTGCAAAGCTATTCTATTAAGCATAGAATTAAGACATGCTTCTGGTTTTGATGTAGTCACAGGAATGAACATGATCATATTTAAACGTTTGAAGTTTTCTACGGCAGAACCAAACTGCACAGCAATACTGTTTTCCTTATTTGTTTTTTGTCACTTCCCCAAATTGTAATGAATAGTAAGAACCAATCCAGAAAAAAAACCAATCATATAGTAGCCTTGACAGTGATAAGATCTTCAACCTTTGGGGTTGAAGGGATCAGTTAGTAGAATGAGGGTGGCCATAGTAATATATGTGGATGGTTCTATCATGTTAATGGCTGAGTTGCGATCTTTCAGTTGAAGCAGGATCAGAAGTTCAAACCATCATTTAAATGGATTCTATGCAAAGCAAGGAAAGAATGTGATGCTATGAACTAAATCAAGAGCCAGATTCTTCTGAAATGCAAGTGGTCTGAGGAGAAATTGGTGTAATTAAGATGGAGGGGAAGGAAGATATAGTGCTTTATGTTGGAAGCCTCAATCTATTAGACAATCCTTTTATCTTAGACCTACTGGTGCAGAGGCATTTATTAGTACTGTGAATTCTGGCATTTAATAAGGATCCATACTTTAGTCAAGAGAAGCAGAACGAATTGATCAAAACCGTGATCATCCCGGATTGCTTTAGGAATGCTAGGAAACCTCCGAAAAGCTGGGGATTATGGCCTTATATGGAGAAAACATGGTGAGATTAGTGCAGGTTCTCAAGGTTCATTCTTGTATTGTGATGATTTTTTTTCCTTTATATTTTTAAAATACAAGTACCAAGCTTCTTTAATCTTGCAATCTTGATTAGTTCTGTTTGTGATATTAATACACTTGGAAACATCATCTTGCACTAGGTAGTATTTAAGCACAAATGTGTCTTTTGAGGGAATATACTTGCTTAGTCACATTTTGCTTAATCTAACACAGGAGAATCTTGGTAGTTAAAGAGGCGGTACTAACACAGGAGAATCTAATGAAGAGGGGAATACATATGTGTCCTAGATGTTTTTTTTGTGAGCTACAGGCAGAGACAATCAACCATCTGTTTCTTCATTGCAAGGTGGTCAGACAATTGTGGCACTTATTTACCAGCTTCAGGGGCATAAGCTGGACCATGCCACAAAGGGCAAGTCAGGCTATAGAAAGCTGGAACACTGAAGGCAGTGGCAGTACAGACCAAAGCAGATGGAGAATTATCCCAGCAGTGATTTGGTGGACCATATGGAAGGAAAGAAATATGAGATGCTTTGAGAGTATTAGTAGTCCCTTACACAGGATCAAAATGAATTGCATAATCACTTTTTGCTATTGGTGCAGTTTGGAGTATGTAGATGATCCTATAGTTGTTATAGATATCCTAGGTTCTTTGTAAGTTGAAGTAGGTTCTAGTTTTGTTTTGTTTTGAGTACTCGCAACTGTATGTAGCTCCATGATGTAAATTTGGGATCCCAGCCTTTAGTGTTGAAGATTAATACACAAAACTGCTACCTTTGTCAAAAAAATTCTCTGACTGCATGTTTATAATGCAGGACTATAGAGAGGCAGCTTCGCTTATTTGATTTTAGATTGAGGCAGACAGAGGTCCAGGCCTTTGGGTGGAAGCAAGAAAGTAGTGACTCACAGTCGGCTCTCATAAACCAGGCTTGGTCACCTGATGGCTTGTACATAACATCTGGGTCGGTTGATCCAGTCATCCACATTTTTGACATAAGGTACAATTCACACAAACCTTCTCAGTCCATTAAAGCCCACCAAAAGCGAGTCTTCAAAGCTATTTGGCATCATGCGGTCCCGCTCCTCATTTCTATATCTTCTGATTTGAACATTGGGTTGCACAAAATCATTTGAGTTGCTGAGAGAGGCATTACTATTCCCAGTCATTTTCCCCATATGTCTGGGGAATTTTGTCTCGTAGAAGCGTATGTCTCGATGCCTTACGCCAAAAGAAACTCATGGGCCTGGTGTGTGGTACTGAGATGATTATGAGGGGAAACCAGAAGGGAAATGCTGTTGAGTATCAGCTTTGCGCTTGGCATAATTCTACGTCCAGGCAGCTGAAACAGTTTTTGAGTTTGATTGGATCTAGAGGCTATTGAAGCCTTCAGAATCCACTCCATGTAAAGGTTATCTATGATGAAAACTTGGAGACATTCAACTCTCTTAGCAAATAGGAATGCCTTTAATAGACTCTAAAGTTTTGAACTTCGTTGTATTTAGTGCAACATTTCCTGTGTCAAAGTCTGATGTTCTAGCAATGGATTAGAGACAGTGGCTTTCACATAGCTACTGTTCTGTCCTTGGCCTACACATCACATTTGTGCTAATATTTCGTAAGAGTCCTGTTTTAAGAATCCATTTTCGCAATCATAAACTGTTCTTTCTTCAGTTGCTTCTGAATTGAGGGAGGTTTTTGTAGTCAATTATGCTTTCAGGGCTTGAGGGAAATTGCTCCCTATTTTCTTTTCTTCTTCTGTTCAATGCGAGCGAAGGAAAGACTATTTTGTTTTGCTCATCAGTTCAAACATATTTGATTGCACTTTAGGATTACTATAGAAAAACCAGTTTGTCAAAGTAGAATCGAGAATTGGCAAAGAGAAGAGTAGAGTTGTCATGTAGTCTCTAATTGACTTACATGGAGCCTGTAGCACATGTATATGGGTTTATCATTAGGGTATTGATACTCTGATGGTATCAAGCAGGAAACATTGTATGTTCCTCCTTGACACCATACTCTAATGATATCAAGGCGTAAGTGAATAGTGTTTTCAATAAAGCATTGGGTCTTCCTCTTTGATACCATTAGAGTGTATATATATTTTGATGGTATCAAGTTGTAAATGCGCATTAGTTGTTAAAAACAGGGGTATGAGAGTACGGGGTAGCCGTGGCCACTTGTAAATTGTTTTCCCTTTGGGGGTTTTAAGTGTTCTTTTTCATATATATGTAAAGGTGGAGTTGTATATATGTTAAACGAAATACGCCATTGAATTCAAAGTGGTTGTTATTGTTATCTACTACCTATAAAAATAATCAGTATTTCTTCTCAAGATTCTTATAGGAGAGGATTAATTACCCCAAAAGAAAAAATGAAATGGTGCACTATAAATAATAAGCAATGTTTTATCGTTTTGTCATTTGCATGAAAGTCTATATGTCTTCATTCTAATTATAATACAACATGTAGTTTGATCGATAAGTTACACTCATCCAATTGAGGAATGAAAAAAATATCGTTTTTTTTTTGTATCTATTTAAAAAATAGTACATGAAATGAAAAAGTAGAGGTTAGGTCCTCTTCCACCATTTGACCATGGGGATGCAAGAAAGGAGTTGAAATTTATATAAAAGGTGGAATTCTCTCTAATTTATATAGTTTTTATACCATCACACTAGCATAACCTACAATAACAAGTACATGCTACTTGTTTTAATTTAGTAACTTGAAAAATGCAGTAAATAATCAATTATTAATATAACATAAAAATTCTTTACACTACCAATGCTACTAATTAAATCCTTTTTTTCTTTTTTTTTACACGAGGTTTGTTTGCTTTTCTCCACCACATACCTCTCCCTCATGTATTTTGCTATTGGATTCTAATTAATAAATATACGAGGTAGGGGTCTGCCTAATTCCCTACCAGTGAAGGTGGCTTAAAATAAAATAATAACAAATATATATATATA